TACTCGAAGATAATCAAACGTCACGATGATAATTGAACTACTTGAAAATAATCAAGTTACTTAAAGATAATCAAGCTACTTGAAAAAATGTAAGCCACTTAAAGATAATCGAACTACTTGAAAATAGTCAAACTACTCAAAGATAATCGTAATACTCGAATATGAAATCTATACACATTTCAATTTATTTTGGCTTTGTTTTATACAAGTTTAAAATACTTGAATAGTATTTGAAGCAGTATAATAAATCAATTTAACAAATTAGCTGTTTTTCAATCGCATACAAATTGTATTAATTAATAATCAAGTAAATCAGGGACTGTTGCCATTATCAGTAGTTTTTGGAAATATTTATTGGTTTTAATTGTCAGTACATCAATTTAGACTGCAACTGTCACATTGGGCATTGAATTTTGGAGTCAGTTACAAACTATTTAACAATATTGCTGAAAGGTACTTTAAATTCCCTGTTTTATTGAACCTAAAGTACACTTTTAATTTACTTACTTATACAGTGAATATTTAGATGGTTCATCCAGAGCACCAGCAATAAGCACAGCTACGACCAAACCGTAAATGGCAATAATACCAGCCATGACAACGGGAATGATGGATTTCATGATCAATTCTGGTCTCATCACCGACATAGCGGCAATACCAGTTCCTGATTTGGCTGTTCCATAGGCGGCTCCCAAAGCTGTAAATAAAAAAAAATAAATAGAATTTAGAAATCGGACTTTTCACAGAGAAAATTTTTATACATAAACTAGACTAATTTCCCAACATCGGTTTTTATATCTTGTTATATTATATAGAAAATGTTAATAATTACAAATTTATTGTTACTTATACAAAGTATGAGAAAGGTAAATCACCATGTGAAAAAAAAAAGAAATCATAAATGTGACTACGAGACTTTACGAGAGAGAGAAAGAGAGAAGGAAGGGGTGTGAAGAGAGAGGAATGAAATGTGAAAGTATATGAAATGAATGGTTTATTAAAAAAATAAGTGTTATATAGTAAAATGAAAGGAAACGAAAGTTTGGGCAAGGAGAGTATTGAAAAAAAACTTGGGTTAAGGTGCTGGAGTTCTGCTAACTTATTTGGACTTGACCGCAAAACAATTATACTCAAATTATAGCGTGCCGTTAAATATTGTAGCATAACAATAGCACAATAACAAAGTACGTCATGCTGTACTACAATGGAAGATAACTTGGCGAAGAACAATAGCCTAGGAAATAGCAAAGTCGATTGATAAACTTCGCGCAATAGAGATATTTGGAGAAACTTTATAAAAAGATAATGTTTATAATTTTTTTAAATTGTAAACATGTTAATAATAATAAAATAATAACGATAGCAGCACATAGAGTGAAGTTACAGCTGCGGGAACTCTTCAAAGATAATACTCTGATCTTAGTAGTTAGAACAGAACACTTTTACCCAGGCTAATATCTAGGAAAAATCTGTTGAAAAGCGAATCACAATGCATAAGGGGGCTCGAAAAATGCATATTGAGACTTTATTTTGCAAATTACTAGACATTTTATAAGATGAGTCATACCGCTGTACATAATCTACAGATTACAAAAACAATAATCACCCCTAATGAAAGAATATGTTTTCAGAAAATAAAA